GATCCTTGGCTATCCACGGATCTTCTTCGTTAATTATCATGTAACAATAAACATCCTCGTATCACCTCCCATTTTATTTTTTTTTTTTCAGTCAAACATCTAAAAAGTCTGTTTTGTAATATATACAAATCAATTTTTGTTATAATGTCTTATAAAGAGTCGTAAATTTTCAAAATTTTTGTTTTTGAGACAGCATGACACAAAATTAGAGTAATTACGAAAGGAGAATGAAATTAAATCAGTGAATATATTTAGAAGCTTACTATTATTTAGGATATAAATCATGATTTTCATTATCAACTTCCGTTGAAACAAAAGCCTGAAAATAGCGACCTACAGAACCTTATCAATATTTACATCCTGAATGAAAATCTCGACAAACAAAAATAACGTCCTAGGGGTCGGATTTTGAAGCCTGAGAAATCTAATAAAAAAATTACCACTGTTCTTGCTATTGTCCTAGCATAAGTTGGACATCAAACATGGAAAATTTAAATGACTGCACGGTATATTTTTAGCACGTTATTGATAAATGGGAGTCACTTTAAAAGCCATAAGCTGCATTAATTCACAAATGATGTTGTTAGCTTTTACATAATCGTTTGTGTGTTTATTAATATTGGGTTAACTCGGACCTCTATCGTCGTTTCGTGTCAGTCGTCAATTTCTCACGATTATTTATTAGATGGATTCATTTGATGACAGACAGTCTCTCGATTTGGTTTAATTTGATAACAAGTTTTTATGACACTATAATATCAACAATTTATTCAAACAGTTGAAATGCAATATTTAGACTAAACGGATCTTGTGAATCATAAAAAATTGAAAAGGGCATTCATTTAACTAACATCAGGAACATTTTTGCATAGCTTTTATGTTGCTGTTAGTTATATTTATGTTTATACTTGATTATTATCATCATTAAGAGGGCTTAAACATGCGAAGGTACTAGTCCAGTAAAATAAATGGAGAGCTATCGAGCGATCTCGCTGGTCAGGGAAGTGGTGAAGATAATCACTCCAGGTTGCCAACAGATTATGAGAATTAACTACGAATGGACGGCGCGGCGATCCATTCAAAAATTTACTGAAGTTTATACGGTCATCAATTGAGAAACATAATAAACTCATAAAAGATGCAATTATACACTCATGAGAGATGTTATTAGTACGAAAAATGTACTATTACGTTAAGATCATTTCGTGGGGTGAGTACCTACTACAGCTACGTAAACAAAAATTTGGCAAAATATCGATAACTCTAAAGAAAAATTCCATTAGGTTAGGTGCACAACGTACTACAACTAGGTAACTGTTGCAGACAGTTTACAGGTTTTCGAACCTAGATGAGGTAATCATCAGAGAAAAAATCCATTTTATAACTAGGCAAGTTCACATATCTAGTTGTTCGACACAGTGATTTATTTGTTTTTATCAAATTTGTTATTTTTTTAACGAAACAATTTTTGCAGTGCATTTTTGTTAATGGAATAATAGGTAGATCGCAAATAAACAATTTATTCACAAGCCTATTATATTATATAAAATAAAATATTATATTTAAACATTATGTATCTAAATTAGTGCTAAATAAATACAATTTAGAAATTGCAGTGAATTGACATTCGATGAAGCCTTAATATTCTACCAAAATCGTGAAAAAACATCAAGTTGAGTTCCCCGAAACAGCTGATTCGCAGTTACCTATTTGTAGTATTCACCCCACGATTTGCTACTAGAAATTCATATGTAGACCTTAAATTCAGTGAAACTAGCAGGGACATCCAACTGAGTTGTTCGAAATATTTTTGAGGATGCTATATTTATATACGTCATTACATATTAATGGCCGTTTTTTGAAAAAGAAAGACTTGGACGGGGCTTACAAAACAAATAAGTAACAATTTAAATACATTCATTAGAATATATAATAACAAAACTCCAGCGTTGGATAGATCAGTAGTATATAACTTGACTTGTGGTTCTTGCTCAAAATTTTATGTTGGCCAAACGGGGAGAGTTTTTTCTCAAAGACGAAAAGAACATAAAGTATCAAGATGGAGTAGTAGAAAGCCAAAAACTTTCTTTCCCAAAAAAATACATAAAGTAGTTTCATGAATGTGAAGGCTAATTTTACATTTGCAAACCATGTTTTGGTAGAGTGGTATGAGTTCAACTTTAGACCTGTTACATTTGAAAAAGGATGGTTTGTAAGTCAATGTTTTGGAATGCTTAGAAATGAATAGATTCGAGAATTCCGAAAATGTGCTGTAAGACCAAATAAAATTGAATTCTTCTCCTCTATCAAATCTGTTTTCTAATGTGGAAATTTTTAATTAGTTTAGTACATGCCATTAAATGGGTTATTAACTATCTATTTATATGAATTACTGGATACTATTTCAATGTAGCATAAAGAAGGCTCGAATTTTTTCTTTGAAACAGCATGAAGACGACTCAAAAAATAAATTTTACTAGTCAGCATGTCATATTGCTGCTCCGTGGTAAAATGGATCTTGTATATATACATGATTAATATGAATTATGAAGTATGTTTTATGTTTAATTTTGAGTTTTGCATTGTACTTCAGAACGTACTTATCTTCATGTACGAAGTTTCATCATGCGTTACCATAGTGCTAATAATATTTGTAACACCGGTATCATGACGTGTTATCCATCATATGGAAGATCCGAAAAACAAATAAAGTATTGAATTGATGGATGTAGCCGGTTACTAGGTACGTGGTAGGAAATCATAATGAAGAAAAGAGAAATGAAACTTTCTGTTTTTTACCACTTATAAAAGTGGAAAAAACATTGAAAATAGCGTGTTATTATTATTATTTAGTTATGCCTAATGTTGAAGGATAAAAAACTACCAGTGTTGGCATTGCAAAAATTATTAGCAGTTTTATCTATATACAACCATCCATCAACAGTTCAAAATATTATTTTGTATGAACGTTTGTTTAAATTGAGTACAATGTCAATTTCGAGGTGAAATGAAAATATCGAAATATGATATTATCTGAACCGAATAATGTGAATTAAAATGTGGAATTCGAATGTGGAAAACAATAACTTATGACCTGTCAACAGTGTCACTTGATTTGAGTTACTATTTGTAATCATTTGACATAATATGACAACTCATGACAATTCATTGTTTCATTTTAGGATAGTTTTCAACAGAAAAATACAGTTTTCAAAATGTTTGATAAAACCACCATATTTGTACGTCAATTAGTTATAAGTATACTAATAGTAATAACGAGTGTGATAACAACGCAGACTTTTTCCAGTGTAGTGATTCCAATAGCGATGGTGAACAATGCGAAAAATATATACCAGTAAATAAGATTCGGATGCAGTTGAATATTGAAACACAGAGAATAAGTTTCAATGTATATAAGAATCTACGTCTCAAGTTTGGTTTCGAGGGAAACAAATTATTATAAGCAACATCAGATTTGACCGAAATTCCTATTGACTATTACAAAAGCAATGAGATTCCTACAATTGAAATCATAAGGAAGAAATTAAATACTTCCGGCCACAACGAGAGCTGCTGTGACAAAACTCTTCAGAATTGGATAAAGAAACTAGGATTTAGATTCAAAATAATAAACAAACGTCAAGCAATTATGGAATGCAGAAGAATAGTGGAATAGCGTAACAAATACTAGAGCAAATAACTAAATATAGACAAGAACAATGACAAATTTTCTATTTGGACGAAACTCACACACAGTTACGAAAGGGTGGACTGATGGTTCGAGAATGTGTACGCCTAACATGCCTGCAAACAAAGGATCGCGACTAATCATTGTGCCTTGTGGAGGAAGGCACAATGGGTTCCGAAGGCATGGGTTCCGAATTCTTGAATTATGTGGAAAAAACTTGAGGACTGCAATGTTGACTATCATAAGAACATAAAAGCTGATGTTTTCGAGGAAATGTTTCGAAACACATTGATCCCAAATTTGGATGTGAATAGTGTAATAGTTCTTGACAACGCTTCCTATCATTCGCGACAGCTCATCAAAGTACCGAATAATAATTCGAGGAAAAATGAAATACAAAGTTTTTTAATGGATAACATTTTGTATTTTGAAGCTTACTGAACCAAAAAACAACTACTTGAAGTTTTACGGACAAAAACATTTGAAAAAGTGTATGCCCTTGAGAGTATTGCTGAAAAGTATGGACACATCATACTGAGACTTCTCTCCTATTTTTGTGTTTTCAATCCCATCGACTTGATTTGGGGAAAATTCAAACAAAGCATCAGGCGTAAAAACAATGTTCCAAAATTTGATAAGAAGATAATAAGAGCTAATTGAAGAAGAAGTATCTAATATTACCGAAGAAAACTGGCAGTAAAGGATTAAAAAAGTAATTTTAGTTGAAAAAGACTGGAGATTGGACACTTCCACATCAATGGTGGAAATAAATTAATTATTGATTTAAATGACGACAGTGATAGTGAAATAGAGAATATGGAAGAGGAATTATCAGAAGCTTTCGAAGAAAGAACCTGTTGGAAGGTAGGTTGCACTATATCTTTTACTTCAACTATATCTCAGATAATAACGTACAATGAAGAAATATAGGTCAAATTTATCACTTTTGTTGTGGTTTATTGCTGACCTCTGAGATATGTTTTGCCGTCAAAAAGTAATTTAAAATTATTTCCAGGTAAAAAATAGTTCTCCGATTCAAAGTGTTCAGAAGCTCTCTCGAAAATCAAAATAGTTCATTGCTTTATTAATGTTATCCTCTGATAATTTTTAATGGGAACGTCCCTGTTCGTTGTCAGATGCCTTTTGAATCAACAGGTAGGTAATTGTACCTTTCATTCCCTCTATTTCTAAAGATCCGTTATCTCATCTCATGACTCGGGTGTCACGGTACACTTATATAGTTCGTTCATGTCTCTAAATCGAGTAATTCGCTTGTAGAAAGCTCCCGTGAGGTTAATTTCTATCGACTCACCTGGTAAACTCTCCGAAGCAAACTCCATCCTGATGATTCGAGTAGTCGTCATTGTTGTTGAGAAAGTTGCTAACGTCCTCTGTACGATTCCTATTATTATTTTTAGTAATGGTGTTATCAAAAGTATTTCTCGACGAATGCGATCTGGTCATATCGTTATTTTTGTTATCCGCGACGTGATCTTGACAATTCCTGTTATTTTTAAAGGCGCTGTGTTTGAAGGAGCTCCTCAAAGAATTCGATCTGACGATTCGACTGCTCCTATTATTTATCGCGTGGTTTCTATTGAAGCTCTTCGTTTTGGTGGAACGCGTGAAGCTTATTCTTTTCTGCCTCAGCATCTTGCTGTTCCCGACTACTACCTCCATTATTTATTAATCGAATTACCCAATTGAATTAAAAAAAGCACAGCTCAAACTACTCCCTGTGAAACCATTTTCTTGGCACAAAACTCAAATACGCAACGGTGGCTGAGATTCGTTTCCCTTCATTTGTTCGAAATATGTCATTGTTGCACTACTGCAAGAGTCAAAACAACAACTAGTTTCATATCTCTTTGTACACGAGCCATTGACGGTACTCCGCGAAACTTATTTAAAAAATCGCGAGCGTAAAACGTCGTAGAGGTAAACGCCGCTGTACAAAGCATACGGAACGAGTCAAAGCCAACTACAAACAGAAATCGTATATTTTCATGTTCCCCCACGTTTGAGTTTAGAACTTGCGTTACGTCATCGAAGACATTCTCGATTCAAATGGCTACGAGTTTTCATCGATGTCGAATCGTTCGAACAAGAATATCCCGGAAGAGGTTTGCATTATTTAGATGATTTTGTTTTGGGTGACATTCGAGGTTACACTATTTTACAACTGTTATCTCGAAGTATTATCGCTAATATTTACTGGGAGACTCATTATTTGAATAAGATTCTATTTCGATAAGAAAACAAAATTAGTAAGTGTTTGAGTTGTGTTGCATTCGAATGTTTCGAACGAGAATAGCATCCAACGTAACGCAAATAATAATTCAATGGAACTGACCGATATTTGACGAAATATCAAACCTTTCTAAAATACATTGTTTTGATTTTCACTATGAAATGTTTTTGAAACCACGACACGTGTTATAACGTGTGTATTTGGATACACAGTGAATAAGAAAATGGTTTTCTGTATAATTCAGTTTCCATATGAAAGTAGTTGTTTCGAAAGGTTTTTTCTTTCGCGTGATTCAATGTTTGTATGAAAGTAGTTGATTCTGTCTGAAAGTAACTTCTCTGGATGATCTACACATTTTGGTATATAGTTAATTTTTTGAAAATGATTGCTTCCTTTTTTTCTTTATATGATTCCTATGTATTTCTATATAAAGTTGGAGAAGTAGAAAGCCAAAATCTTTCTTTCCCGAATGTAATTCTGTTTTACTCACAATTTGTCGATCTTCAATCGATCTATACTATTTTTATATTAAAATTAGCATAATTTTGATGAAATCATGCATTGCGCCCTTATTTCAGTAAGAAACTAAAATCTCTTCAATACAAATCGAGACATGTGTATATTTATCAGTCTCCTATCAAGGTTAATTCGCAAGTAATTGATCCACCTTCTTCTTTTTCAGTGCGGTCAATGGATATAGGTCATTCATGCTCCCAAAATATGAGATGCAGTCCTCGTGGTTTTGGTTCCATTTCAGTGAAAGAGCTTCATGGAGCAAGAGCCGAATCGATTCCTCTACGTAATCCTTCATCACTTGGAAGGATCGACTGCAGCTGAGAAATGGTTTTGATGCAGATTATGTGGAACATGTTCTTCCCTACGAATCAGTAGGCAGTTATCCTAAAATCTTGTGAAGAAAATTGGATTGGATGATTTAGGAAACACTTGCTACATAAATAGCACATTTTACAAGTGTTAACGACGAATTTCAGAAACGAGGTTTTAACGATGAACGAGAACGAGCATGTTTCCTACTCATTCACCAAACTCAAACACCTCTTCATTCAGCTGCCGTGTCGTGAGAGTGTATCATCTTTCCGACCAACCGATTTTCTAGGGTCTCTGAACTCCACTAGATACCCGTTAGAACAATAAGACGATTGTTCCGAATTCTTGGGGTTCTTGTTGAATACTCCTGATCGCTCTGGATTGAACGATTCCGTACAGTCTATCTCCTCTTGTGTATGTAGATATTTTGTTTGAAAAAGCCTCACTAGTTTACTTTATAGTACATATTCAAGAGGTAGCAAAAACGTATGTGACTTTCTAAAACTTCAACTAGCGTTTCCTAATATGACTGATAGCCAGTCCGTGCAAAGCTTATTGTTGATTCATCTGAGAATCGAACTTTTAACGGGTGATGATCCACTGTTTTGCCAAATATGCGCCAAACTAACTGACTATTATGAGGCACCAGTCAATCTATTAATAACACTGATGATCTTCAAACATGACTCAACCTCTGACGGAAGTACCAAACCCTTACGAAGGTTCGAAATAGATGAACACTTCAATCTAGCAGACTACTATTATAATATTCATGCAATCATTGTTTACTGTGGTTCAGGCGTTGAATCTGGTTATTATTACGCATTGGTCAAAGACGAAACGGACTGGTTTAAGTTTGGCCATAGTCTTGTCACTAAATATTCTGGCAATATCTTGATTTCATTGAAGCCTCTGGAGACACCCTACATTTTATTCTATGAAAGAGAGGACATTGGCAGATCAAGATCTTCAGATGATGTGATACTGGGTTTTTCCGGGTTTTCCTGCAGCTGAAAAAGCAAATGCGCCACTGGAATAAATAAAGTCGTCCCGGGGCGCCAATTAATTTTTGTTGTTTCATAATTTTATAATTTGTATTACTTTTTGTTTTATGAGAATAAATTAATATTCTTCAATAATAATAATTGAAATATTCAATCAATAAGTTATTGATGATTGTAAAAAAGTTCAAACTTGATTCGTATAATAATGAATAATAATTCGATCCATAAGGTGGAAAAGCTATTAAAAAGGCAGTTGACTTCTTTCTTTGTTATTGTTTGTTTGTGAACTTTCGTGTCCAGGTCATAGAATTTTTTATAGTGATGACGGAACTTTAATTACAGTATTGAGGTAGCCGAGTACATTATCCAATTATCCAGCGGAAAATGAGGCACAATTAGTTCGGTAAAATAATGAAGTCACCGATTAATGCGTTTGAGATATACCGTGAAGCGTATAATTATGGTTCAAGAAGTTTGTCATGTCTAACAGGAATCAATTAAAATAACCGCATCTCATTTCTGTCGAAGATAGAACAAAGTATCAAATCATTCAAATAATTAAACTCGACACATTCATGAACATTATTTTCACTGGATCTCATTTATATCGCCACAAACAACGTGAATGTGTTGATTTTGTATACATTTTTTCAATGTCATTAGCAACTGTATAACATTTTTCTACTCTGATGAATATGATCTCATGAATACATTCAATTGTCCAAAATTCAAACTCAGTGAATTTTCTCGCCAAACTCTCTGTAAAATCGAAATAAATATCATATTTTCAGTAAAATCATTGTTCAACAGTTTGTGGATTGGTAATGAATCTAGTTATATCCGTGAATCAACAACGACTTGTTTTAATTATGAGATGTCATTCAGTATCTCGTAAAAATTCAAAATGAGTGATAACGATCAAAAAAATTGTGCTACTCCATCAGATATTTCCGAGCAAGCAAATATTGCGATGAATGATTTGCTGCCAGCAAAATCAAAAGAAAAATACGAATATAACTTCGAAAATTTTATGAGTTGGAGAGAGAAAAAAACATAACTTGGTTTTCCGAAAACGTTCTTTTCGTTTATTTTGAAACCATCGTCATTATGGGCAATTTACTCCATGCTGAGAAGTACCCTGAATATCAAGAAAAATGTGAACATCAGCAAATCTGATGGATATAAACCGAAGAAATCGTCGACGTTTACCACTGAACAAATAAATCAATTCATTAATATTTTGTTTTCGAAGATAACACAACTACGCTTTTTCCTTCTATTCATTTTTCATGAACTTTTGCAACAATTTTTTAAATACTAAGACACAACATAAGGGTTGAAACTGAATTATTCAATCTTACCAGCAAATAGACAATCATATTCTATTTTACCGTGTTAGGAATAACACGTTAAAAGGTAAGATCTCGTTAGTCCTTAGCTCGCACAGGTTTCTCAACTTCTGAGAGTTGTCGTTCGTATGGGGACAACAGCTGATTAACGGAAAAACAGATTTTTTTTAACAGATTGTCAAACTTGTCTAAAACAAATCCTACTTCCGTTAATTCTATGAACTATAACAGCCAAGTAAAAGGAATTGAAAATATTTTGAAGAAAAAAAACACCTGTTCGCATTTGTATTTGACATTATTATATTATTTTAAACTTTTGAAATGTATTTATTTACTCATAAAGTGAATATCAATCATCATTACTACTCATATCACAATCATACATCACAATGGTAATCGCCAAAGTAGCTCAGCGGTAAGGCGTGTCAGTTCTGACTGAGTGACTGAATGAGTTCATTATCCAAAGCCATAATCTCAAACAAATATATTGTACCCTTCCTTTCTACGGTCAGTCGTAGAAAAAGTATAGTACGCACCTCCAGGTATAGTACGCACCTCCAGGTTACGTCCACTCGCGAATTATCGTACTCGGCTGACGCCTCGTGCTTACAATTTTTCACTAGTGAGTAATTATCCTACTTGGTATGTAATATACTATTAATCTAGGCTCCAATGATAATTCGGACTTTATTAAACATAATTAAATTCAATTTTGAGAGCTGTTTAAACTTGTCTTCTTCATAGTTTCATGTGGTGTATAGCAAATTCTTAACAAATCCTTAGTAAAATCCAACCAAGGTCAGGGATTTTGCTTTGCAAGTTTTGAATATTACCTCGTTCAAAACTCACTTATAGGGATATTTTTCATCTGAGTTCTTTTTCACAGACCATTCGACAAGAATAGGAGACCAGTTTTATCTTGAGGAAAGCTTATATGAAAATTCCTGAAGCCTCAAAAATTCATAAAAAATACGTGTCATATCGATTTTGATAATTGCGACCTACAAGTAAGTGTCCTTTGTGGAAATTGGGTTTATTCAAGAGGCCTTTGTTATTGATTGATTTATGGAGAACGTATATTAAAAATAGTTGCCTATATGTTTCTAGCTTGATAAGTAAAATTTCGACCCTCTGGCGTGAAAAGAATCTTTTGGAAACACTTTGCACACACCAGAAAAAAAAATATTTGACGTGAGTTTCGTTAACCAAGTTAGATTCATCAGGAAATGACTAGGACAGCAAAACGTGCGTTGAGTGACAGCATTTTGGTTCTGGTGTGAGAAAAGAGTGTTCAATACATCTCTTCAATAGAATATCATTGAACTTTGTTTTTCTGTATATATAGTTGACGTATTTCAAAAATTTATAAACAAAATATTTGTTTTCACATTTTTTGCAATTTGATTATTTCTCATACTTCTCCATAATGCTTGTAAGAACTTTTGCCAAAATACGGACAACAAACTACAAAGTAATTTGCAATTCAATTTGATTTTTTATATTTCATTAGTTCGGACTTCCATTGTATAATATGATATAAATCC